AATGGGGGAAATGGGGTAAATAATGGGGGAAAATGGGGAAAATAATGGGGGAAAATAATGGGAAAATAATGGGGGAAAATTGGGAAAAAAATGGGGAAAATGGGGAAAATAATGGGGAAAATAATGTGGAAATGAGAAAAAATGGGGGATAAGGGGGGAAAGAGATTTGGGAAAAAAGGGGCATGAGGAGGAAAAAAAGGGGAATAAAAAAGAAAAAAGGGATTTGGGAAAAAAATGGGGGGGATAGAGAATTTGTGGAAAAGGGGATAAAGGGGAAAAAAGGGATGAGGAGAAAAAAAGGGAATAAAAAAGAAAAAATGTATGAGGGAAAAAAAAGGGGATAAAGGAAAAAAAAGGATTGGGGAAAAAAGAAGATGGGGTGAAAAAAAGGGGAATAAAAAAATTAAAAATGGATGAGGGCAGAAAAGGGGATAAAGGGAAAAAAGGGATTTGGGGATAAAAATTGGGGAAATAAAAATGAGGAAGCAAAGGGGGTCCGGGCTCACCTGGGGGGGCCACCCTGAGGATCTGCCACTCCTTGGAGTCGTTGGGGTCCGGCACCCCCAGCTCCTCCTCGGGCTCCGGCCGGGACACGAGCACGGGCCTGGCGACGGGGAAATCTGCCAAAGAACCCAAAAATGGGAAATAAAACGGGAAATCAGCCAAAAAAACCCAAAATCAGAGGGGAAATCTGCCCAAAAAACCCCAAAATCAGAGGGGAAATCTGCCCAAAAATCCCCAAAATGGGAAATCAGAGGGGAAATGTGCCAAAAAAAAACAAAATTAGAGGGGAAATCTGCCCAAAAATCCCCAAAATGGGAAATCAGAGGGGAAATCTGCCCAAAAATCCCCAAAATGGGAAATCAGAGGGGAAATGTGCCAAAAAAACCCAAAATCAGAGGGGAAATCTGCCCAAAAATCCCCAAAATCAGAGGGGAAATCTGCCCAAAAATGGGGAATCAGAAAGGATATCTGCCAAAAAACCCAAAAATAGGAAATCAGAGGGGAAATCTGCCAAAAAACCCCAAAAACGGGGAATCAGAGGGGAAATCTGGGGGGTCACAGTTTTGGGGGGGTCACGGCTTCCTGCCAGAGGGTTCCAGGTAAAAAAATAAAGTTTATCCAAATTTTTATTTGTTTTTGGGGAAGATTTTAGGGAGAGGGATTTTGGGGAGGGGATTTTGGAGTTGTTGCTTCGGGGGAGGATTTTGGGGGGGTTGTTTTGGGGAAGGGGATTTTGGGGAGGGGAATTTTGAGCGGGTTATTTTGGGGAGGGGAATTTTGAGGAGGATTTTGGAGGAGGATTTTGAGGAGGGGAATTTGGGGAGGGGGA